CGCTCGCTACCGTCAAGGCGGACCTCATACACGCCTTCCTTAGCGTGAGTACTGGCAGTGGCCGAATCTCACGACCACCTTTGCATACGATATAATGACGCCAGCCCTATCTACGCTGCAATAGTAGAGCTCTTTTTAAAACTAGAATAAATGAGAGGCGAGATCTTAGGTGAAAGAGTGAGATGTTAGGTGTGAGTATACGCGACTCTCACGCAATGTGTGGTGTGCACAGATAGCGGAGCTGTCGCACAGCGTGCTCGGCCCCATGTCTTTTCGCGTGGAGTACAAGCGCGGTTCCAACGCGCCCGCCATGTTCCAGAGGCACGTTAGATTTCAGGTACGTTTGTTTTGTGAACTTATAGGATAAGGAACACCAACACTCTAGTCTCTAGTTCCTATCAGTTCTCGTTATTAATAAAAAATAAAACCACAATATTTTTTTGCGGGCCATTGTGAAGTCAGTGCGAAGTGTGTGTACTGTTCAGATGTCACTTAGATGTGAAAACAAAGTTTTTGATTGGTTCTCAGTATTATCTAAAGTCAAAAATGATAAAGTTCACCTATAACTTTGGCAAACACATAATACCGTATTATAATATACATAAATATTGTGAAGTCAATGCAACCACGAGAAAATACACAATGCTGTGTTTATGACGATTTTTACTCGGAAATTTATATGGAATATATTTTGGTTCAATTACATTTTTCCTAGTAAAAAAAAGTGCTAATTAATGATTGCTTTTCATTAAAAGCTGGATTCGGCAACGATTCACAGTAAACCATTTCAAGAGTAAATTTCTATGCTAATGAATGTAGACGGACATCACAGTCGCAATAATAGATACGTCAATTCCCTCCACCAAAAGCGTTGCGTTACAGAAATTGGCACGGGAATTTGAAAAACAGAAACTTTTTAATTATTAAAAGCAACCAAATCACGATATTCGAAAAAGTATAGATTTGTTTTAACATTAATAAAGTACACAAAAACATTTTTCACAATTTGGTATCATGTACATATTGTCTATTGCAAGTACAAAATGAATATAACGAGTGATTGCATCGCATCGCGCAGGTGGACATATCGACGATAACGAAGGCACCCGGAGAGAACGGCAAGGAGTACCTGTACGCCATCACCTTCACCCTGCTCTCAGGTGAGACGAGCCCGCGAGCCCGCTACGAACAGAGACGTCGCCGCACTTTGCGGCTAGACGCGCATCTACCTCCACTGGCCACTCGCTACCCAGTGCCCGCAGACACGTCTCTTGTAATGCTTTCCTACTAAGATTGAACTTTAGAGTCTAGTTAGTATACAGACATTGATTCTAAAGAGATGTAACGAGTTGTGTTGTGTCGTGCAGGCAACATCCGGCGGTTCCGGCGCGTGTGCGAGGTGGTGCAGGCGGCCGTGTGCCGCGCGCCCGGCGCCGGCCGCGCGCCCGCCCAGCCGCCCCGCGCGCTGCACCCGCCCTCGCCGCGCGCGCCGCGCAGGCACCTCGCGCTCGCCCACGGTCAGCCCTCGTTCCAACCCGCCCTCGCCTTCACAAACTGTCACCGCGCCCACGGTCACCTCTCAACTCAAATCGCCCTCGGTTCTATAACTTAGTTTACTGATAAACATTATGATTCATTGAAATCATATTTTATTCCATGAAAAATATGAAATATGAAAAATGACGATTCTCGCTTCCCCTAATAAAACTTAAAAGACGGGTATCGTAGTGACGAATCAAAGATGCATAACGAACAACTATAAACTATGTCAGGTTTAAATAAAATTTCAAGAACTAAACCAAAATTATTATTTAACTATTAGCTAATTCAGGGGACAATTCTGGTAAAGAATATTGTGTAGAGAATATAGCCATGTATATGTACAACTGTAGTACTTATAAATATTTATTAACCCTCAGTTTTCTTTTGTTTTTCTTTCGATAGTACCATATACAAGTTTCTTTAGCGGATTTTTATGTCAATCAGATGTTTGATTATTATAGTTGAATCAAACAAATTAGTGAAACACAGTCAGTCCTTTTCCGGGGGTTTAACCTAAAGTCGTGCTTTGTGTCGCAGCGGCGGGCGAGATCCCCGACAGCCCCGACCAGCCGGCGCAGTCTGACCACGATAGCGACTCCTCTGCCTTCGAGCCCGCCAAGAGCCCCAGCCGCTCCTCCATCGACCATCTCGATCAGGTGAGCTTCACTCTGCGCCTCACACTGCGCCACACAATGCGCGACACCCTGCACTTCAGGCTGCCACCGCAAACAGCTATGGAATCTCACCAGCTCATTGATAGAACTATGTTATTTTTGTAAAATTTCATTAATTGTTCAGTCATATTGACGCGGACGCCTGCTTTTTCATATTTGTAAGTAAATGTGTAAATAAAAGTGAATGTTGTCTTCATTTCTAGAACGGCGCGCACCCGCTGGGCTCCAGCTCCTCTGTCACCAGCGGCTCTAGTGGATACAAAGTAAGCATCTGCTCTGCGCCGCAGCACACCACATATAACGATTGAAGTTATTAAAAAAAAAGATCTAATGCCGGCGGTAGAATGGCAAACGGCAGTTGGCAGTGATGCGCTATGGTTGTGCGTAGCTATAAAGTCAATTGGTTAATTCATGTACATCTTTGCAATTCGTCAAGATCGTGTTGTGCAGTTTACACTAAAGAAAAGATTGAAGGAATGTGTTACTGATATTACGCGATTATTATTTAATTATTACCGACATGCGCACGCCTCCAAAGGAGGATAAAATTTCCGTGTTAATGATCTAGATTGTAAATTACCTTTTGCACGCCGATCGTTACTCCGGCACACATGAAAATTACTACATACATACGTAAATAATAATATTTATTCACAACGTTAAAAATTTTGAGACTCCCACTTTGGTGATGTGGACGATGATGGATTATTGTTATGCAACGAAGCGGTGGTGTCGAATTGCTGACGCAATGCGTATGTAATCAGTCGTGCGATTGCAGCAGCCGGGCGGGGGTGGGGGCGTCGGTGGGCGCGGCGGGCGCAGGCGCGCGGAGCCTGCCTCCGCCTCCCTCGACCACGAAATCATGAGCTGCGGTCGCGACCTGCCAGGTACGCAACACTCCTCACCTGACAAATCATGCGCAAACCTCGCAGCATTGCGATCTTCCTCTCCGATCTTGCTCATAAGCTGCATGCTACACCTTTTCAGATAGTAATAGAGTTTCGGCTCTCTCGCTTGAATGGCGGCCACTAGATCTATATCCGGCGAATACCACCACTTCACGAAAACCAGACGTGAAAAATAATTGATCTTAATAAGTCCATGGAAAGGAAAACGAAATGTTTCTTTTTTTTTTACTCTATCTATCTAGTAACGGGGCCACACAACTTTGACACGTTATTTGTTGCGGATGCGTCTAGGGGCTGCGACCACCTGATATCCGAAGGTGTCTTTGCCGGCGTCTGGCACAAGAAACACCGTATCCTACTGTTAACTACATCCCTCGTCCTTCTCAAACGTTGCATGCTTAGGCTCGACCGTTACCCGGGGTCGATAACACTTGTTCTCTGTCATGTTATAATCTAAAATATCGGCGTATTGAAATTATGTAATATTTATCTAGTTATAGATAACCTAACCCATGTACATATATAATTATGTGTAGGCACGCACACTAAGCGTTCGTCGTCGGAATGCCGGGACGCGAACTGCTCGCCGCGACGCGGGCTTGACTGTGGCTCGCGCGAGCGCGACCCCGCGCGTGACCTGCTGCGGCGCCACAACTCGTTGCGGGAAACGCCGGCGCCTCCTGCGCCCCCCGCCGCCGGCGCCGAGCCGCGCGCGTGACTCGCCACCCGGAGTCCTGTTACTGTTGCTAGTGTCCCTGTAAACACAGCGGCTACCACTTTCTGTGACCAGAAACCTGAAAGCTTTGTAATCAATTTAAAATTACTTCCATATTTGTTGCACGCGTAGTGCTATTGTTGTCTTTTGAAAGTTTAAATACAGTACGAAATTCTGAATAAGGCTTCTAAAAACCTCAATGTAAGCTATAGAAATTTTCACAACATGATATTGTACGTATGTACCGTACCATATACGAGTACATGATATAAGCGTCATGCCTCCTTGGGCCGCACTAGAACGCACCGTGCCGCACTACGCCGCACCCTTTCGTCTCGTGCCGCATTGGCCCCACTGGGCGTCACAGCGCCTCACTGGGCGTCACAGCGCCTCACTGGGCGTCACAGCGCCTCACTGGGCGTCACAGTGCCTCACCGAACTCGCTCCTACTTCGGCGACGGTTGCGCTTCGTCGCCGAAAATAATATTATTTTTTTATCTTTTGTATAAGTAGCAAATTAAATACTTAACACATCTTTAAAAGAAACCGAGTACCTTATGTATATTGTCATGATTGTTGTTAGTAAGGAATGTGGTACTGCAGACGGCTGGCCGTAAGCGCGCGGTGCGATCACTCAGGTCGCAGACCGCCGCGCCGCTTGCAGGCGCAGGCCGCTGCGCCCTTAGCCGCACGCCGCTGCAAGGCGTCGCACGCGCTATTTAGATAATCTGTTTTTATAAGTATACATAATATATATAGGTAGGTATAATTCATTAAGCTTAAACATAATGTGTGTAATTTATTGAAAAACATTGAAAAAAAAAACAAAACATTAATTATTGAAATGAACCGGCCATGTATTTTAAATGTTAAAAGCTATCCAAGTACTGAATTATCGCTAATTTAAGTTAAGGCCTGAGAATATGTGTAACGCTGTATTTTTGCAAAAATATAACTAAATATGTATATCTGTAAATACTATATGAAAAGTTGTTCCATTCCCCACTGTCGTACATAGGCAATGCTTAGTATATATTATGTATAGGTTTTGGTTACGACATAACATACGAGTAGAGTACACTGCCGCACCGCACCGCGCCGCGCCGCGCCGCGCCGCGCCGCTCACCAGCGAGCTTCGGTTGAAAAAAGTCACCACGAAATGCGAATGATATGTATAACAAATAAACTACAGATAGAAATAGCACGTTTCATAAATGCTTTTACGATTTTCAATACGTAATTTTTTTAACTTAGCATCTTCACTAGCTACAACATCTTTAGAAATTGGCGCGCTTTTGTTAGTTTGTAGCCTAAACTGTTGAATAGATCTCGTTGAAGTTGCGCAGAAATGTAGACAAAAGTCGGGAAGAACACGCCGAAAATATATCTCATGTGACTTCTGTGAATGTGATACGCACATAAAGGGATGAGTACATAGAGAAGTGACGATGAGAGCATGTGGCTCGTGAGTGAAGCAGGCGCGGTGCGCACTCATTCAGCATGGGCTGAAGCGTCGTCGTCAGCTCTTACGTCACTAAAATTGCCGAACTAAGCTTTTAAAGATTTGTCTACGAAGGGGCTTAGAAAGTATTTTTGTACACTAAACAATTTGTCTTCATATCGTGCAAATGTTTATGTTAACGGCGCATATATTTTAATATGAATATAATATGTTTTAATATACAAGTGCCACAATGTTACCGCTTCGTATCCGAAGTGTTTCGTTCAAAATGGTGATATTTTTGTAATGTAACAAACATTTAATTTTGCAATGACATACATATTAAGTTCGTCGCAATTTGACCTCCAACCTGAACGGCGTGACCGGTTATTGAGTTAAAGCTTATTCGAGGACTCAGTAAATCGGGTTTAACGATGTTTGATACATTAGAGGTCAGATTAGGACATTCTCCCCTCTGTCGTCTCATCCCTGTCTCCAGGCGAGGTAGCTGCCAAGTATGGACAATGCCATTCAAACTAAGTATCGGCAGGAAGTAGAGGTGCGCTCGCAGCTAACTAGTGCTGCCTTCAATTTGGAATCGTGTAACTATTATATGTTACAGTACATTGTTTCTTAACAACCGATAAATCCAAGTGATAGGTACCTATTCAGTAACAGATACTTTTAACTAACAGGTACCTTCTTATTTTTATATCTCACAATTTGTTCACAAAACATTCAATTATAACTTTACGCACTTTTTTTTAAATCTGGAAACATGTTTTTTTATAAATTTTAGAAATGAATAAGATGTGCACATTGTTTTTTAAAACGCTTGCAATAAGAAAACCTGTTCCATATTCCATCCATAGGTTGCTGGTTCATATCCGGCTCGAAGCACCAACGTTTACGTTGTAAAAACACAGTGTACATTTAACGTTGGTCCTTGGAGCAAAGACAAAATGTTTATAAAAAAATAGTAGGCCTTGATTTGAACGATATATTGATAGTAATTACGAGTTACAAAATAAAAAATAAAGTTATATGTTGTCCTGTGAATTCTTGGAAGGCAACTGGTCGGGCGAGGTGTCAGTGCGCGCGGGGCGGCTGAGGACTGGCAGAAGCCCTCCGCGCGTCTCTCGCATCGTCGGTGGAAAAGTGCGGAACACTTTCCTTTAATCATTTGCACTACTGTATTTAATTAATTTGTATTTGTACCAAGTCCGCTTAAAACCATTTATTATTTTAGATTTGCTCGTACTTGGTATGACATTGTATACAGTATGCAGTGTTGTTTTCCTCACCGCTCGTTACTGCTCGGCTGCGACATGTTTTAGTTTACCGTGTTGGTTGTTGCTAGGGGCAACGCAAGCATTCGCATTTATTGCCAAATAACATGCCAATATTGTAGACCAACAGATGTGTACAAAGCTCTGTATGTCAGTCTAGCCTACGCCCGGGAGGCTGGGATTGCATCTATGTATGTATTACGTATGTTATGTTGGACTAGGAGAGTGTCATTATAAACTATTGTAAAAGCTTTATTTAAAATAAATTTCGCAAGACCAATTAGACAAGTGTATTCTGTTAATCTTACGAAACCAAAGTTATGCTGTAACCTGTGAACTGTAACCGCTTAACAAAATTTATTGGTTAATATTAAAAATACAATTAAATAAAACCTTAAAACATTAGTTTCTTTTTATTTCTGCCAATGTTCAACTTATACATGTTACGATGGCGGTTGTTACTGTCAATTCTGTACAGAGAAGGCAAGCCGCTCCCGGCACTCTGCTCCGCAGTCTACGGCGCGACGTGGAAATGAAACAAAACTTGATTTTCAAATATATTTCAGTAATCAAAATATAATAATAGGCTTACATATTAATAGTTACCAATCGTATCTCATGGCGCCATCGATCGTTCCTCCAACACAAATAAGCGAAATTACCAAAAACTTCTTTAAAAATCCTTAAACGCTATACGAATGCATCTCGGAGAAAGAGATACCCGGACTGAGTGCGGCGCGTGATGCGAGCGCGGGCGCAGAGCGCAGACTGCGGGCGGGCGGCGGCCGCGCACGCGCTCGCTGCCCCCTCTGCGCCCTCTGCGCCGCGCTCACACAACTTACAAAACAACTCAAACTTTGTGTATTTTATATATTCTTCATTCAATTTATCTAGCGTTATTTATTATCTTCAGATTTATTTCTTGTAAATCGATACTTTTGTCCTGTATTTTTTTTTATTAAAAATGTGTTACACTTATACATTATGATCGTATATAAATTATTAGCTAGATATATTTACAATAGTCTTTTTGGGCTACGTTTTTAAACTTTGTTTTACATAACAGTTGATCGTAGGCAAGCGTCGACATCTCGATTCATAAACACTTACAAACTATGTCCACAAAGAAACCGGCTCAGAGCGCCACAGCTCGAGGCGCTACAGCCCGCGCCTGGCTGCGCAGTGCGGAGAGTGCGGAGTGCGCAGGGTGCGCAGCGAGCAGAGTGCGCACTGCGCAGAGCACGCAGTGAGCAAAGTGCGCACTGCGCCGCCTGCGAGGAACGTGCGTGCGCGGCCTCCTTACAGACTACACTCAGTATCACAAATCAAATTCCAACCTATTTCCCTCTGCGTGAGCAATTACATTTTAAAAATACTCTTGGTCAATATTATATGAAGCACGAGCCCGGCCGCCGCCGCCGCCGCCGCCCTTTGCTGCTTACACAAATTAAAACAATAATGGACGTCTTGAAAAATAAATGTTGAGTTTAATCATTTTTCCTACATTTAGATCTATCTACATAGTTTTAGAGCAGATGTATGAGGTGTGGAGTGTGTGCAGTGTGTGGAGTGTGTGCAGTGTGCGGTGTGCGCAGTGCGTGCGGTGCGGCGGCCGCTCGCCACTTACAACAAAACATCTTCAATACAATCATGACAAATGACATGATAACATTTAAAAAAGCAATAACTGCCTCCTTTCATGAAGTTTAATCCGCCTCTTTATATTTACAATATGACCACTTTGCTTCGTTTCATTTAGACATTGTTCAGTTCCCGACTAACCTAAAGCGTAACTAACGTAGCGCGGCAAGTGAGGCGCGGCAGTAAGGCGCCGCAGTGAGGCGCCGCAGTGAGGCGCCGCAGTGAGGCGCCGCAGTGAGGCGCCGCCGTGAGGCGCCGCGGGTGCCGGCCGTAACGTATAAGTACATTACGTGAATTCACAAAAAGCAATAAATATTAAAATAATACGTTATCTAAACCGTCCACGAAACCGTTTAAAAGCTGCCAACATCACATTTTGAAGTTTATTTTATTTAACATTCCTTGTAATAAATAGAGACGTCACAGAAGTAACTAAAAAAGTGTAAAAAAAAAATTACTGCTAAAAGGTACATGTGCCTCCCCCCGACCCTGGGAGCTGATCCCCATCGCACTTTAGGGTCCTGCCCCACTGCCCCACTGCCCCACTGGCGCTCGCTGGCAGTGCAGCCGCACA